GACATTAGAAGGTAATGGAGAGAGAGAGGGGGAGAGAAAGAGAAAGGGAAATTAAGAGAGAGAGGGGGGAGAGTGTAAGGGAGGTAACATGTAGGTAGGTAGGGAGGGAGGTAGGGAAAGGTAGAACATTAATTTTGAACATTTTATTAGTTAAGCATTGAGATCACATGTACATGTATTAAAGTTATTGTTTTCCTCCATTTCTCTCTCTCCCTCTCTCTCTTTCTCAGGTTTCCTGTTCCTCAATAAGCTCTTTATTTTGAGAGGACGTCACGAGACAACATGGAAGGTTGTTAGAAGATTTGGATACAACAACGAACTAACACTGAGAGATGACTACCTGACACCAATGTGAGTTAATAACCACTAGAAGTAATAACTAGAATTAATAACTAACTAGTGGAATTAATAACTACTTGAATTATTAACTACACCGTAGTAGAGCATTAGAATTTATAACCACTAGAACTAGATTTAATAACTACCAGAATTAATAACTACTATTTAATAATCACTATCAATAACTGTGTGTAGGTTTAGTAAGTTAGACAATCATGCACATGTACTAAATTATCATGTGAATTATTATTATGGTAGTAAAGTTTTGGCCAGTACATGTATAATTATTCTCATTAATGTATTGGTAGGTTTAATCCTCTTCCAGAGAGCACAGTTGAACTAAGTGAGTCTGGAACTAGATTCCTCACTGACCTCTTCAACAGATATGATAAGGTATAGACAACATATACAGTGTACATGTACATGTATACATGTATGTACATGTACTAAATTAGATTAATATACTGTATATTACATACATTAGGATGGTGATCAAGCACTCTCTCCTACTGAACAAGAGGTAAGAGATTATTGATTTTGATGCACATTTGATATTAACACTGATACTAACACTGATATTGATATTACTATTGATATTACTATTATTGATATTTTAATGCTGCTATATCTTGTTAGGATCTGTTTAGTATATGCCCTGAGTTCATGTGGGATGATCTGATAAGTCACACTGTAGATACTAACAACAAGGGGTGGGTCACACTGGAGGGGTTTCTGGCATTCTGGACGTAAGAACAAAGCAAATACTCAATATTTAAATCTTTGTAATTTATATTCTTTATTTTCCTCTCTGTCTCTCTCCCTCCCTGTCTCCCTCCCTCCCTCCCTCTCTCCCTCTCTCCTTCCCTCCCTCCCTCCCTCTCCCTCCCTCCCTCTCCCTCCCTCCCTCCCT